TCTGAACTTGAGGTCGTGAAAGAACTTGAGTATCAGGAATTTTAGAATCTTCTCCTAATGTTTGACTATGAATGGAGTCAGCTACGTCACTCCCTCTGTCCCCACCCCCATCATCACCAATGTCTTTCCCTCCTTGTCTTTTCCTCTTCTAATTGGAAAACACTGTTTTCTTCATATTCAAGTTTTGAAGACTAAGAATATGATTGACTAATACCATGTACTAAAGTGGGCCACATGGATTCTAAATCACTGGATAGTATATTAGTATGAGAAAAACAAAACAAAATAAAACACCTCCCTGGTCAAATGACTAGATCCAGTTCCATCTCCATGGTTTGGCACAGAAAATCATTTGTTTTCAGAACAGGCCATCAGCTTTTGCAGAGATTTGAGAAGGCCAGTTTCGTCTAGAAAGGAATATGGATAGATGGCTCTGTTAGACATGTCCAGAACAAAAAGTAAAGAAATAAACTTAACTTTTTGCAAATCAGTGTTGAAGAGCTCACTATCTCATGATACACTTGATAGATGTGACTAATTGCTAAAATTCTGCATTCTTCTGCAAGGCATATTATTATGGTAAGAGAGAAAATGTGGAGTTCCATTGGTTTAAATTTTTAAGCAGGTATTTATCAAGTCCCTACTATTGGTTAGCTATTCTGTAATCTGGGATGATGGAGACTTATAGAGCATTGCTAATGACTTCAGGAGTGTTATACTTTAAAGGTTACAGCTACATAAGGAAATGTTCCCAAATTTATGTCAATGAAAAAAGTACATTGTCATAGACCTGAGGTGTGGCTTATGTTAACTTTTTGCCTATTTATCCTCTATTTCTTTCATGATTTCTTCATAGTAAGTTAATACTAATTGGCTGCTAAAATCATTGTCTTCTTTTATCCAAACAATGGAAATAAATAAGAATGAATTTTTTTTAAAAAAAGAATGAAAGACTGAGAGTTAAACACACAATTGTGTTTAATCTAGTTATGGATTCTGTAATATATGGTAGATCTGGGGCGTTGTCTTTTCCTTGAGTGAGGAGGTACATAAAAATAAAAAAGGTAGCACTAGCACTCTCTTGAACAGCTCTCTGGGAGTGTGCATTCTAAGTACCATGTGCATTATGGCTTTGTTTTAAATATCAGGCCACTTTATTCTGGTATATTAAATCAAAAGATAACTTTGTAACTCTAGAGAAAGTATAGGATTCAATAGTGTAGATCACAGAACCCAAGCATCACCTTGCTGAAAGCACCAGATCATCATACTCTCATGGTAGTACCTTATTTCCAGGTAGAGTGATGTAATTGGGAGTGTTCTATTTTTTCAAAATCTATTTTCTAGCACAATTAGAACTTATTGAAGGTTGGGCTATAGCGAGCCTTAATGATCATCATGCTGTTGCTATGTTATCAGATTAATTTTCTGTCATATATTTTCAGGGAAAGTATTAAAAGAACTCTGAGAAAAGAACAAGAAGAACTATGTAATAAATGAAAAAAAAAATAAGCTGCAAGATCTTTGCTAGGATTTGCTCAGGTATCCTCTATCTTAGAAGACAATTGAACATATACTAGATAGACAACAAGAAGTTGTTCTTATTTTCACTTTCTCTTTCATCCAGTCAATTGGGAACAATTACCAGCACAGAGTATTCCATACAGCTTTAGAAAGAATATAAGAAAAGTACTAGCCTCAGCTCTTGACTTCTTTCTCTTAACATTGGAATCCTCCTCTTCCTCCTCCTCCTCTTCCTCCTCTAACTCTTCTTCCTCCTTCTCCTCCTCCTCTTTTTCTTCTCTCTGGTGGATGGCTTTGTAAGGAAGAATTTTGGGGTCTCAGCTGAAATCCTTATATTCAGTAGCTGGCTTTCAGTTCTTCCTTTCACAGAAAACTTACACTGTATTTCTGTTCTATGTCAGCAGTAACTGGCTTATTTATGGCAGATTTTACCCAACATATTTATCATTTTCTGGGTCCATTATAAATGGCAATTCATTTTGGCAGATGGACTCACACAATAAACGCTTTTGGGAATTAGACTTAACAGAACCAATTTAGATCTCATGGAAAAATTGGAACAAAAGCCACTGACATAAAATAAATATTTTGTTTGGTTTGTTTTCATTAGGTAGGTTAATTTAAATAAATATTCTTTATTGAACCTATCAAGCTTATGTCACTCTACATATTACATGCATGCAGAATAAAAACAATTAGCACACAATTTCCAAATGGGTTATCAAGCAGCAGTGGATTTTAGAAGTGCCAAGGGACGGAAGACATGTGATTGTATTTAATCATTCAATCTCAATCTGTCTCTCTCTCTCTCTCCCTCTCGCTCTGGCTCTCTGTCCATTCTCCACCCCCCAGTACTGGGGATTGAACCTAGTGACTCACACATGCAAGGCAAGTGCTCTACCACTTAAGCACATCGCCACCAATACAATATTACATTGTATTATGTACATTGCACATAATACAATGTAATATTGTCTTATTACAGTCTTATTACATTAGAATGTAATAAGACAATATTGCATTCTAAATAAATACAGTATGATTACCAATTTCTATGCAATATCTCCTAATCAGATTTCCCCCATAATCCCCTCCGAGATAGAAATTTTCTGAGTGACACTGTTGATGTTGTCAACAATATGAGATAAGATTCTATTACGTCAATTATCATACATGTGTTTCTGGTATTCTCCTTAGGACAAAAAATAAGCACACTCTCTGACAAGTTCCTATATTTCAGAGACTTGATCAAAGGCAGACTCACTCTTCTCTTTAGCCATGTTATAGCTTTTCTAAATATGTGAAAAGCAATCATCAGTAGCTAGAAGAGTCTCCAGTTTCAGGTATGTTGTTATAATCAGGTCAGTTGAGTCTGCTTTCAGTTTATTTCACATCACAGGACTGTCATAAGACCAATGCTTTCTTTGGAGCAGGTACATTCAAATGTCACCAGGTTGCACGCCTCAGGCTACAAAAGGTAAACTAGTGTTGGTGAACATGTCATGTTGCAAGGGCATCATAATAATTGTAGAGACAGCAAAGGATTGTATTTCACTACTGTGGAGCATCAAATACATAAGGCAAATGCAAACAAGCTGTTGTCACCTACCAGGATTGGAAATCCGGGAGTAAAAACTCCTAAGCTGTTCATTACAAGCTTAAATGAGCCCATTAGACTTACATTAGGCTTAAGAGAAAAGAGGAAATAGTGCTACTGAACTGTCAGGGATGCAAGATTTTCTAATGCAAGAGAAAGATCACCACACATTCTAAAGCTGAGTCTACTGTATTATCTATCTTATTTTCAAATTGGAAATTTCAAAAGGCCAACATGAGTATTGCTTTTATGAACTTGTTAAAAGAGACGATAGAAGAAGTATCTGAAGAGCATCATTTCCATATTCGTCTATTTTTTTTTTCTTGTGAGGAGTACTGCTGAGACAAAATGGGATTTGGGAGAAACATGTTTGTTTCTGGTGTATCTGGTGCTGATCAAAAAGAATCAAAGAGAAAAGAAACCCATGGTAAAATTTTGAAATCTGATTTTCATCAGAAGTTTATTTTGATTTTATTATGTTTGATGCTAGTGAGGGATAAGACAGACATGAAAGGTTGTGAGTATAGATTTTAGAACTGAGTGATGAGCAAAACTGACAATTCATATTCTTATCAAATCCTTTTGAGGCTTACAAAATAGAAATTTCCTTGAATTTTCTGACATCTTCACATCTCATCTTGCCCCAAACTTGGAGACTCTCTAATAAACATGAAAGTTGAAAAATACAAGCAAGAGAAAAATTTTCAGCTGCAGACCTGTAAAGAAAACAAACAAAAAATCCCTACCAATCCAGCAAACAAGCAAAAAAGCCAGCGTCATTTAGATGAGGTTGAAGACTCTCTTTAATATAAGATAGTTGGCTCCACAAGGGTATTTGACCTAAAATCTAACTATCATAAATAAGGAACCGAAGCAGATTATAAATTACAGTGCTGAGACCGAGATTTTCTGTGCTGGTTTCAGGTCAAAATGCAAACTCAAATCAGGAGAAAGTATTTGTGTTGCCTGGGAATTTGTACTTTTTTGTATTCAAATAATCCCAAGAAATCTTCTAGGTGATTACTCTTAGTTTATTAAAAACATTATGAAGCAAATGCATGCTTAAATAGTACTGTGTATTCAGCACATGGCTCATGGCAGCTCTATAACCTTTTTTGATTTCCTCCCTTTGAGGATGCTTTCTCCTGTCACCATTGTCATCATGTGACTATCATTACCACTATTATGACTACCACAATTATCAGAATATTTAATAAGCGTACACTTAATGAGTGGCATTAGGCAGAAGATGCATGAAAAACTTCCACCTCATTAGCCAGGGTAAGTTATCAGACTTAATCAACAACTGATGGCTATAGTTTGTTCCTATTCCTATTGCATCAGCGATATGGATGCCATGTGATTCAAAAAGATAGCTTCCTATTCAGAGAGAGCTCCAAGGATATCCTTGCTGCCTGGAACACAAGGTGGGGGCTGTCTGTCTGTCATGGGATTCCATGCTCTTCTGAAGCATTCCATCTCCCAGAAGCAATCTCAGAAAAGAGCTAAATAGCTCATGTCTGAGAACTGGAATCCTGAGACAATTGTAGAAGGGATTACATGCAAGTAACCAAAAGTGGTTGTTCCTTGTGATTTACTGTCTGGTATAGGATGTAGCAGGAGCCATATTCTCAGTGCTAAGAACAGTCTTAAAGGATATTAACACCACTGATGCCATGGTTCTACCTATCTTTTTATGCATTGCCTCCTGCAGTGCTCTATTCGGAACTATAGAAGAAGTGTACAAGGAAAGAAGCCTAAGGGGGCCCAGGCTTTAATTTTAATTTCTTCTGAATTAAATAGCATTGTAAAATCCCAAGTGTACACATTAGTCTGCGAGGTGGGAATATTTATGGAAGTGCTCCAGTCACCGCTGCGTATGGCCAGGCTGCTTGCAAGAAGCAGGGATAGGCGGCGGTGCAGAGTGGCAAGAACACTGTGTCCTGCATTAAGCCCTGCTCCCTCAGAGGCTGTGTGTCAGACGACTGGTACCCCGGTTCTTCGGGCGGGTGAGCCAATTAGCACATTCCCTAGTCTGGAACTGTAGTTGCTGTGTATGTGATCTGCATACTGATTCAGCTGAGATTTGACCTTCTGGGCGGAGAAAAACAAGAATCCCAGGTGAGAGAGAACATTGGCCTAGATTTTCCTATCCTCTCTCCTCTGTTTTTTTTTATTTTCGGGCATACCAGCCTCGCTCCTTCTTTCTGAGTAACTCTGAGACTGGAAAACAGTTTTGTTTCACTTGGGAGCTCAAATCAATGTATAGGATAGAAACGATTAAAAATCAAGGCTTTTACCTCCTTCTGTTAATGTCAAAAATGGAACGCAGGTAGCTCCTTGTACTAGTAACAGCGTTGGCCCACATGGGGGCAGTACTAGGTAGTCAAAAGCCTCCAAGAGCTTTCAGGGCACGTAATGAGTCTGGCAGGAGACGAACTTTAAATGCATCAAGCAGAAGCAGGGTAGTTTTTCATAAGCACAAGATTCCTTAAAGCCAATCATTACAGTGTTCTAAGTGTTCTTGCTGAAGAAATGAGGACAGAAAGATGTCTTCCGAATTTCCAGCTGCTGGTGCCATGGCTTGCCAGGAGATGCTGGAGAAATGTTCTGATTGATTACTCCAGCAAGCTGTACTTATTTTAACACATACAGCTTAAAACAGACAAAAAAAACTCCACCTTTTAAATTAAATTATCCAATTATATTCTAGATTTTTAGGAATAATGATTGTATATCAGGATAGATTTTCAGTTTCTTATTGTGTGATGAGTTCCTTTTGGTAAATTTTCAAATAAGGAATTTCTAGGGAAGAACACATTCATAGCCAGTGGAAGTTCACTGGGATGGTGCATGGAAGTTATTGGTGGCTGAATACTGAACAAATCTCTCCATTTCATTGAATCTCTTTTAAGTTATGATAGCTACATAAGCCAGAATCGGTAATTATGAATTCAACTGATCTGAAAGGTTTTTAGTGTGAAGAGAGGAAGTCTTTTCTACCAAGATACTCAGGATCAGCTCTTCTGATTACTTGTTGGGCATGGCTTAGAAACCCAAGGAAAGGATTTTTATGGTATTCAGAGCTACATTCCCACAACCTAGAGTACTGAAAATCACGAAGCCTTTGTTCCCTACTCAGATATGAGATGATATCAAATATTCTTTTAGATGGTGCTGCTGGGTGCCAATATTCCAAATAAATAAATAAATAAATTTGAAATTAGCTGATGAGTTCTTGGTCATAAAAATGGCTTGTTTGTCAGGTCATGTGGAAGCTGAGCAAATGACTCTTAATGACAGGGTGGGCTACAGTGCTGGGCACATTAAACAAATTCTCACAAAGAAGTGAGAGGAGTCTTATGGCAATAGTCTGTTCTGAACAGAACAGTACATATGCCCAATATCATCGACATTGTCTCTTGATATCCTCTTCCCTTGTACTTCCTTTTTTTCTTTCCCTGTCTCTTGTCTTTTGGATAAAATTAAACACCAAGTCTCTTCATTTTCTCCTTTAACTTTATCCCCTTTCTGCTGATACACATGCCAGAGCATCCAATTGCACCCATGGAAATTGTTTATCCCTGAGGGGATCATTTGGTGCTCAAATGGCTACGGATCCTGTGCCAGAACAAGAAGATTATAAGAGAAAATTCAGTGTTTGCTTTTACATTCATTTGTGGTTTTTTTTCCCCAAAACTCATTAGTACAAAGGTTATTTCTCACCATAAAGGGCTACTTAGAATAAGGTAAATAAAAAGCACATCTTTTTGCCTTCTTTGAAATGGTGGCTTGGACTGGCATGATGGTAACGGTTGTCTTGTTTCATGAGTATTGAAAACGTGGAGGAAAGCCTCAGTCTGGGGTTTGGTAAATGGAAATTCTCTGACTGATTTTTCTCTTCTAGCTTAGAAAATGATTAAAATGGCTATGAATTTGAACCTTGCCATAATATCACCTTAGAGTCATCTGGCAAGTTGTGATAAGCAAGTGTTATGCAAAAATTGCTGTGCACACCCCCCAGCCCTCTGGAAGTCAGTACACAAGCTCCATGTAACAATTAAGCAAAATTATATGATTGCTTTGTCTGTGTGGCCACACAATTTTAATGAGCATGCAGGGAAGTGAATTGCATAGATGAGGTAGTGATAAACAAGAGATTAATTTTTTAATAACTGGCAACTTTTGCTTGCTGGATTTTAATTTTCTCCTCTTCTTAAAATACTAAGTGGAACCTATAACAAAGTAACATGGTTTCCTATTGCTTTTAGTGTGAAGAAGATGGCATTAAGTTTAACCTATCCCTTTTCACAAATCAGGTCCCTTTGGGCACCCATACAAAGTACCTTCTTCTTTGTGTTTCCTGCACTGGCAGCACCAGACTCACACCTCTTCCAACCCCGTTTACTTCCTCTTCCTACTTCCAACTGGATCATTAGCAAGAGAGAGGAATGACTAAGAGGAGAAAGACAAAAAGTAATTAATTCACTGAAGTGCAGCTGCAAATGAATTTTTGAAATAAATTATTAATTTCCTCTTTAATATTTCTGCATTGATGCTGCTCTGTATCTGGGGATTGAAAGTGAGAAGCGTTTTGCTTCACAGCAACCAGGCCCTGGGTAGACTGCAGCACCTCCTGGTAACTAGAATGCATTGCGCTAATGTGCTGTTTCTCTAGCTCATCAGCAACACGCCTTTTAGCTAGCAGCATTTTAAATATGCCTGGATTTCAAAGTGTATCATAGGTAGAGAGGGCATGCCAGCTGGGGAAGGTGCAATAAAAGAGGTTAAATACCTTATCTTCTGTATCTTCTGGTGTCTCAACTTTCTAAAATTCTAAAACCAAGACAAACGCTAAACATATATGATCATTATTGAAGAAAAGATGGCATCACAAATTCAAAATCATTTTGCTGTATAAGAAAAAAATGCTGAGTTGTGTAGGTGATGTGAGAGTTGAGAGGATTGAGTCTCAATGACATGGAAAAAAATATTACAAATCTTTGTAGTTTCAGACCAACTCTGGGCAGAGATCAGGGCATGGCAGTAGGGTGACAGCAAAAGACTGCTCAATCACCTCCTCTAGGCTTTGAGTCTTCAGTCAGCTCTAAGCCCAGATTACAGAATGCCCCTTTTATCCCTCCCTTTGCTCAAATCAAATGTTATCAGAAAATCTGCTTTCCTTGACCTCTGTGGCATGTAGTGGGAAGGTAAACCTTGGCATTATATGGAGAAACTACTTTGAGCAATAGAAAGCAATGGTACTGTTTCTGTGTTCAAAGATGTTGGCTCCAAATGGCAGAGGAATGATTGTTTCCACTTAAAATGATTGATATGTCTACACACACTTGAGAGATAGAATTTCATTACCAATTCCTTCTGCGGGAACTGACTGAATACAGTTTCAAAGGAAATAGGGAGCACATTTGTGTAACAGAGCACCATTTTCTTCCATGAAATGGAGGGGTAGAAAGGGCCAATATATGTGGGGAGAAATTGTAGATGTTAAATAAGGTGAACAAAGATATAGAAAAAGTGAAACTTCTACCACAGAAAAATGTACATGTTGTAATTGAGTTTTTAGCTTTTTGTTCTTTGATTGAAATATTTCTATTGGTTCACTTGCATAAGTATTTATTTTTAAATTACTTGTAATCATTAAGCACAGGGGGAAAAATAAGGATTGTAAAGGCTACCTAGCAAAATCCAATTCATTCCATAATAATACTTAAGAATTAATGCTTTCATTTTGTGTGGCATTTGAAAACCTGGAAAATCATTAACAATATCTTGCAGATGATTTTAGAAGAGAAAATTAAGAAATCCAAACTCTAATTTGGGGTCAAACATAAGGGGAAACAACTTCATGAGCTCCTAAACCGTAATGTTCTTTTCTACAACAAGAAATACTCTGCAACCTAAAAATCTGTTTTCTCTCAAATATTTTTTCTCTAATGCTGTTTGGTTACCTCCTAAAGCCATTATTTCCAGCAGAGTCACAGAAATCCTCAGCTGTGTAGGCGGTCCCAGTAAATTTAGCAGGCAAGCCACATTTTGACATGTTAAGAATAGGCGTCCATAAATCTTCCCCAGCTTCTCCTGAGAAGATTAAATCTTTCTTTTCAAGAATTTGCTAAATTTCAGGAAATGCTGTAATATAACAAATGACTTGTGGACAAGGCTGAAGAGAGAGTGGAAGATAATGGAATCCCTTTGTTTAGGAACGAAAACAGAAGCCGGAGGAAAATTCTAGAAATTCTATATTAGCTCCTGGAAAAGAGAGGGTTTGGGCAAATGAAACTAATCTACCTGCAGTAGCACTTGGACCATGAATTAGGGGCATGACAAAAGCCCTAAAGAAGACTTCATGTTGTTAAGAGGGATTTCTACTTTTAAACACAATCTCAGAAAGGATACAAATAAGCTTTCAAGTAAAAGAGGACTTCAAGTAGTCTGAATCTTATATTGTTCTTTCTCACAACCAGTCAAACATGGGGCTCTAGGACCATTTACTTCATCTCTCAAGCCTACTTCAAAATGCAGTAGTCTTCAAAATACTTTAAAACTCCTAACCTTTCTTTTACCAGAAAGGGTTCATCATACTGAGTGATATATGAAAGAGACCTTAACTATTTAATATAAATGGGAGAAATTTAGACATCCTAGCATAAGCAAATAAGGAACTTATTGAAAGAAAACTAGACAGGTAAGGGTACAGGATTCAATAAACCTTAGGAAGGTGGGATCCAAGGTTGCCCCAAGGTAGCCAAGAAAAGGGCCATTCCCCCAGGACCTTGTGTGGAAATGACTCTGCACCAACTGTTTTTCCTTCATGCACCACTCCTCTCGGATACTTCTCAGTGCCAAGGAGAAAGCATATAACTGGCTTCCTGAGCCATGGGCCTGTCCATTGGCTGAGGATAAAGCTGTGTACAGCCATCAAGATCATAGACTGATGGAGGAGTACTACTTCCCTAAGAGAAAACCAATTCTGCTACCAAAAAGGGCTGTTGAGCAGCAAGACACAAACTTTAGAAAGAGCAATAATGTATTAGAAAGCAAGCTTAACTTCCCTGTCAGACAATTTTGAGATGAAAAGTTGCTGTTTTATCAGTACTTGC